GATTCTGGGAGCCACCGTAAGGCCATTCAGCCTCACTAAAACAACGGGCGACACGCGCCACCCCCGAAACCGTATTGGAAAAAAATGTACAATTGGCATTCTGGGCGCCAACATAAGGCAACCCAACCTCACAAAAACAATCGGTAACATGTGTCACCCCCAAAACCGTCAGAAAAAAACATTGTAAACTTGGGTTTGTAGGAGCCGGCATGAAGCCATTCAGCTTCAAAAAAATTATAGCCGGAGTGCAGTATCCCCAAACAGGGTTTTTCAGACCCACTGCGGTTTCCAAGGTCGATTGCGTGCCCGTCCAGTGCGGGCTGGCATGGCATGTTAAACATGGCTCCTCCTCCTCCTCCTCCTCCTCCTCCTCCTCTTCCTCCACCTCCTCTTCATCCCGAACGGCATCTCGGAGCCCAGAGTTGCGAGGATGTCTTCAGCGTAACGGGCTGGACCACCTCGCGCGCGGCATCTCGGACCCCAGAGTTGCGACGATGTCTCGGGCGAAACGTGCTGCGAGGAAGTCTCAGGCGAAACGGGCAGGACCACCTCGAGCGCGGCGTCTCAGAGCTCCGCCTCCTGGGGCCTCCGGGGACCTCCTGGTGACCTCCTGGGGCTTCCTCCTGGGCCTCCTGTGGCCTGCTGGACCCCACCTGGGGCTTCCTGAAGCCTCTTGGGGCTCCCAGGGGGGGATATCGAACATGTGGCCGTCGGGCTCCCCCAAAATGGGGGGGGGGCCACAAGAGCAGGAAAAATCAACGAATCGACACCGGATGTGTATTAACTTGACACGTTCTGATAGGGGGCCCCCTGGGGCCTCCTGGGAGCCTCCTGGGAATCTCCTGCGGACCCCTGGGGCCTGTCCTGGGCGTCCTGCGGCCTCCTGAAGCTCTCTGGGGCCTCCTGGGGCTCCCAGGTCCCAGGGGGAATATGTAACATGTGGTCTTCTGGGCTCCCAGGCTGGACCACCTCTTGCGCAGCATCTGAGAGCTCAGAGTTGCGAGAATGTCTTGTGCGAAACAGGCCGAACCACCTTGCGCACGTCATCTCAGAGCTCAGAGTTGCGAGGATGTCTCAGGCAAGATGGGCCGGACCACCTCGCGCAGGGCATCTCGGAGCCCAGAGTTGCGAGGATGTCTCAGGCGTAACGGGCTGGACCACCTCGCGCGCGGCATCTCGGACCCCAGAGTTTTGAGACGATGTCTTCGGCTGAAACGTGCTGCGAAGGGGGGGAAAAAGGTCCCCCCCTCATGGAAACGGGTCGGACCACCTCGAGCGCGGCGTCTCTGAGCTCCGAGTTGCGGGGGGCCTCCTGGGGCCTCCTGGGGCCTCCTGGTGACCTCCTGGGGCTTCCTCCTGGGCCTCCTGTGGCCTCCTGGACCCCACCTGGGGCTTCCTGAAGCCTCTTGGGGCTCCCAGTGGGGGATATCGAACATGTGGCCGTCGGGGCCCCCCAAAATGGGGGGGGGCCACAAGAGCAGGAAAAATCAAAGAATCGGCACCGGATGTGTATTAACTTGACACGTTCTGATAGGGGGGCCTCTCAGAGCTCCGAGTTGCGGGGGCCTCCCGGTGCCTCCTGGGGCCTCCTGGGGACCTCCTGGGGCTTCCTCCTGGGCCTCCTGTGGCCTCCTGAACTCCACCTGGGGCTTCCTGAAGCCTCTTGGGGCTCCCGGGGGGAACATCTAACCTGTGGCCGCTTGGGCTCCTCAAAATGGGGGGAGGGCCACAAGAGCAGGAAACATCAACGAATCGACACTGGATGTGTATTAAATTGACACGTTCTGATAGGGGGCCTCCTGGGGCCTCCTGGGAGCCTCCTGGGAATCTCCTGCGGACCCCTGGGGCCTGTCCTGGGCGTCCTGCGGCCTCCTGGAGCTCTCTGGGGCCTCCTGGGGCTCCCAGGTCCAGGGGAAATATGTAACATGTGGTCTTCTGGGCCCCCAGGCTGGACCACCTCTTGCGCGGCATCTGAGAGCTCAGAGTTGCGAGAATGTCTTGTGCGAAACAGGCCGGACCACCTTGCGCACGTCATCTCAGAGCTCAGAGTTGCGAGGATGTCTCAGGCGAGACGGGCCGGACCACCTCGCGCAGGGCATTTCAGAGCTCAGAAGTTCGAGGATGTCTCAGGCGGGCTCCCAGGGTCCCAGGGAGGATATGTTACATGTGGTCTTCTGGGCTCCTAGGCTGGACCACCTCTTGCGCGGCATCTTGGAGCTCAGAGTTGCGAGAATGTCTTGTGCGAAACAGGCCGGACCACCTTGCGCACGGCATCTCAGAGCTCAGAGATGCGAGGATGTCTCAGGCGAGACGGGCTGGACCACCTCGCGCAGGGCATCTCAGAGCTCAGAAGTTCGAGGATGTCTCAAGCGAAACGGGCTGGACCACCTCTCGCGCGGCATCTCCGAGGTCAGAGTTTTCGAGGATGTCTCAGGCGACACGGACCGGACCACCTCGCGCAAGGCATCTCAGAGCTCAGAGTTCGAGGATGTCTCAGGCGAAACGGCCCGGACCACCTCTCGCACGGCACCTCGGGGCTCAGAATTTCGAGGATGTCTCAAGCGAAACGGCCCAGACCACCTCTCGCGCGGCGTCCCGGAGCGCAACTTTTTGAGGATGTCTCAGGCGAAACGGCCAATCCCGGCCAACTCAGAAACGAGAGTTGCGACGATGTCTCAAACGAAACGGCCCAGACCATCAAATTGATGTGAGGATGTCTCTGCTCCGACTTCCCTCGGCCAGAGTTAGCTTCTATCACAACAGCACCCAGTTCAGCAAGCTGTTTGGGGAACAACGGACGACACGTGTCACCCCCGAAACAATGTGAAAACCAATGGTAAACTGAAGGAGCTGGGCGCCAGCATAGGCCATTCAGCTTCACAAAAAAAACGGGTGACACGTGTCTAACCTGAAACCGTGTGGGGAAAACAATTGAAAATTGAGGATTCCACGGGACAACATAAAGACATTCAGCCGCGCAACAACGTAAGGCCATTCAACCTCACAAAAAACGACGAGCGACACGAATCACCCCCGAAATAAAAAAAAACATGTAAATGTAGGATTTGGGGCGCCAGCAGAAGGCCATTCAACCTCGCAAAAAACAGCCACGTGTCACCCCGAAAACGTGTGAGAAAAACCAATCGAAAATCTAGGGTTCTGGCAGCCAGCATAACACTGTTCATATTCACAAGAAACAATGGGTGACACGTGTCACCCCCGAAACCGCGTGGGAAAAAAACGCGTGTCTCCCCCGAAACCGCGTGGGAAAAAAACAATTTTAGATTTGGGGCTCTGGGAGCCAACATGAGGCCATTCAGCTTCACAACTAACAGGTGACGCGTGTCATCCCCGAAACCACGTGACAAAAAACCCTTGTATATTCTGGTTTCTGGGAGCCAGCATAAGGCCATTCAACCTCGCAAAAAAAACACACGTGACACGTGTCACCCCCGAAAACGTGTAAGAAAAACCTATCGAAAATCTGGGGCTCTGGGAGCCAGAAAAAACGTTCATATTCAAAAGAAACAGCGGGCGATACGTGTCACCCCCGAAACCGCGTGAGGAAAAACAATTGTAACCATGGAGCTTCAGGAGCTAACATGAGGCCATTCAGCCTCACAAAAACAACCGGTGACACGTGTCTCCCCCGAAACCGCGTGGGAACAGCAAATTGTAGGTGTGGGGTTCTGGGGGCCAACATGAGGCCATTAAGCTTCACAACTAACGGGTGACCCGTGTCATCCCCGAAACCACGTGAAAAAAACCGCTGTAAATTCTGGCTTCTGGGAGCCAGCATAAGCCATTCAACCTCGCAAAAAACAGCGGGTGACACGTGTCACCCCCGAAAACGTGTAAGAAAAACCTATCGAAAATCTGGGGCTCTGGGAGCCAGAAAAAAAAAACTTCATATTCACAAGCAACAGCGGGTGACACGTGCCACCCTCGAAACCGCGTGAGAAAGAACAATTGTAACCATGGGGCTTCGGGAGCCAACATGAGGCCATTCAGCCTCACAGAAACAATCGGTGACACGTGTCTCCCCCGAAACCGTCTGAGAAAAGAACACATGGGATTCCGGGGGCCCAACATAAGGCCATTCAACTTCACAAGGAACAACGGACGACACGTATCACCTCCGAAACCGTGAAAGAAAAACCATGTGTACATTTGGGATTCTGGAACCAACATAAGACCATTCAGCCTCACAAAAACAACCGGTGACACATGTCACCTCCGAAACCGCGTGACAAAAAAAAACAATTGTAAATGTGGGATTCTGGGGGACACCATAAGGCCAGTCAGCCTCACACAGCGCGCGATAACTGGACGCCACCGCACGCACGCGCGCGCAGTCGCTCGCGTAAGTAAGTACAGTGTCCCAGTAAGACGAAAACGACCTACTCGTGGACCGAAGTAGCCTGCACATCTGCACGCATACAGTTCATGAGCATATACCACTGCATGCGCGTGAGTGCATGTGTATACGCATATACTTGCGCACAAACATATAGGTGTGCATTGATCAATCGCATCGTTCGGCCACTGTGGAATATTTTGCAGGGGGGAGAATTATACAAATAGTTATTCAGCGGCGAATTAATGGCAGTCGGGATCCGGGGGGGCAGAGGGGGGGGGACATCATTTTCGTTAACAGGTTTGGGACATTACCCGCCCGCGCGCAGGGACGACGAGCAGATGCCCGCATCCACCGCTCCCCCAGGTCCTGGAGCGCGGGTCAGAGACTGTGGACATGGCGGGTTCCAGAAACCCTTAACCCAAACATGCTGTGATTTCCTGGGGGCGCGTCGTGTACGTCCGCCAGCTTCCGCTGGCCTTCCCCGGCCTTCCGCCGGAGGGGGCGGCCTCGTTTCACTTCCGCCGCCTTCCGCTAGCCTTCCGCAGCCTCCCCCTCGACCCTCGAAGGCGAAGGAAGCCCTTCCTGGAACGCCGCACGCGGACACATCCTGGCAACATTGCTCGGACGACGGGCCCTCAGCCGGCCAGCCGGCCCGAGGGCGCCTGCACGGAGACAAGCTCGGCCGGCTCGGCGACCTCGGCCGCCTTGGCGGTCACAGCCTCGGGCGGCGCCGCCGCCTCGGTGACCTCGTGCGGAGCTCAAAGCACTGTCGAAGCCTTCCCGGGGCGGGGGGGGGCTCTCGACGCTTTTCCTGGGGCTTTCGCTCACTCGTTGCCGATCCCTGAGGGTTTTCAGGACCGTGGGTGGTTTCCATCAGCTGCGGCTCTTCGAGATGCTTCCAGAGAGCCGAGAATCGTCCCGAACGGCCCCCGCTCGGATCCGAAGGATTATCGTCCTCGCCCCGGGGGCTGCCAAATGACAGGCCGCCCGAGTCGTCCTGCGCCCAGGGCGTCGCTCTCGGGGCCACCTGGGGCCTTTGGGGGTCTCTCGGAGGCCGCGAAAACAATCATCGAGAGCCTCCTGGATCGGCGGTCAGCCTGGGGAGGAAGTGAGAAGGAGAAGGCCTTCTCGGAAGGCTCGGAAGTCCCCATGCCTTCTGAGAAGTTTTCTGAGCCTTCCCCGAAAACGCAGAAAACTTCTCAGAAGGCGCCAGAGCTTCTGAGAAGTCCCGCCGCCTTCCGAGAAGGCCTTCTCCCTCTCACTTCCTCGCCTCGCTCGCCGCCGACTGGAAACTTCATTGCGCCGTGTGGGCGCCCTTCTGGACAATCTTGGACGCCTCTTGGACGCCTCTGATGGCCCAGCGAAAGGTTGCGGAACCCCGCCGGAGGCGGGCGTACAGCTTCCAGCGGAGCGCCACCCTGCGTGGGTTGCCCTTGCCACCCCGTGATCTCCTCACCGCACAGCTGCTCCACTTTCCTGCGCCCTTGGGGTGTCCAGCGGAGTACCTCCGCACGCGGATCGGAGCCATCAGCCTCGCCCCCCATAGGTGCTGCCAAGCGCAGGACTGTGCTCACGTTCCTGCACCCATTTTGGGGTGGGTCCAGCGGAAAGGAGCCCTACGCAAATCCAAGCCGCGGCACGGCTGAAAAATCCTTGAGCGGGTTCGATACGCTCATGGCAGATGGTGGCTGATGGGCGGAAAAGGGAACGATGGTGATGGCCCAGGGCGCGGGGAGGGAGATGATCGCCCCTGAGGAAAGCCAAAGGAACACCGGAGCATTCCAAACCTAACTTGTTCCTGAGCTCGACGTCTGCACTGCAATTGCCTGCGCGATCTACCTTCCTTGCCCCTCCCTTGTAAGGAAAAGGAGGGGAAGAAAGGGAGCGGGGGGAGGGAGGAGGGGGGGAGGGAGAGGACCGAAGAAAGGAATAGGAAGAGTATGGAAGGGGAAGAAGGTGGAAGGGAGAACGAAGAAAGATAATAGAAGGATGAGGACGGGGAGGGGGGAGTGGGGGGAACGGCAGAGGGGAATGAAAGAGATATGAGCGGGGACTGCGGCAGGGCAAGGAGCAAGTAATTAGGCTTCCCCCCTGGACCTTAGGCGCCGAGCTACCCTTTCGTGCAGCGTGAACAGCCACATTGATTCGATCCAGCTCCCGCAGCACATTGCCGTACTGCAGCTTCGCCTGCTTGGCGCGCTCGGTGAGCGAGTTAATGCGGTTCTGCTCCGAGGCCAGCGTCAGCTGGAAATGAGGAGGGTGTGAAGGAGGGAGAGGAGGTGCAGGAGGAGGGGGAGGGCGAGGGCAAATGGGGTATGGAAGGTGACGGAGGATAAGCATAAGAAGGATCAGGGGTGGGAGCAGAGGGAGGAGGATAGGTAGACAAAGGGAGAGGGGAGAAAGGAAGAGAATAAGCAGGAGGAGAAGGAGGCAGAGAGGGAGGGGAAGGCGGATGATGGATAGGCCGAGGGAAAACGGCGAGGGAGAGGGGGGGAGAGGGAGACATGCGGGAGGCAGAAGGATGCCATATTTGATTCCCCAAGTGGGGCGCGCAGCGCGTGGATGAAGTACCACGCAGCGAGATTGGTAACGCCCTGTGGGGCGCGAGGCGTGCAGGGGTATGCCATCATTGGCGGGGCAACGCCATGTCAACGCCACCACTAGGGCCGCAGCAGGTGAAGCTACCTACGGGGCGGCGATCCATGCGACAAGTTTGCGCCAAAGCGGACCTGCGGGCAACGCGGACAGCTGCAGCGGCAGGGGATGGATGGCAGCGCAGCGCCAGCGGCTGGCAGCCGCGGCGGCTGCAGCCACGGCAGCCTAACGCAGGCAGCACGGCAGCAGCGGCGGGGAGAGGAGGGGGCGGGAGGTGGAAGGGGGAGAATGCGCGCGACGCAGCGGAGACAAACGGGGACCCAACTCCACACGAGGGTTGGGGGGAGGAACTTCCCTACGCTATCACCCTCCTCCTTTCCCCACCCCCTCCTCCTCCTCCTGCTCCTCCTCCTCCTCCTCCTCCTCCTCCTCCTCCTCCTATTCCTCCTCCTCCTCCTCCTCCTCATCCCCTCTTCCATCGCCCTGGGACCTCCAAAGACCCCAAACCTCCCCAACTCTCCTATGACATCCCCACTCCCTCTTCTCCCTCCACACTTACCGTGTCCTTCCTTACTCCTCGTCTTCCCTCCTCATCCTCCTCACTCCCTCCATCCTCTCATATTTCCTCCCCCTCCCCATCCTCCCCTAGCCATTTCCCTCCTCCTCCTCCTCCTCCTCCTCCTCCTCGTCATCCTCCTCTTCCTCCGACTCCTCCCCCCTCCTCCTCGCACTCCTCCGGACTCGAGAAGGGAAGGTGCCTGGTGCTGCTGCAGCTGCTTGAAGCAGGGCAGCGTGCGCTTGATGACGGTGTCGCCGATCTGCGCGCGCCAGGAGTCGTGGATCGCCTGGGCCTCCTGGTACTCTCGCAAAGCCCGCGCGTACTCCTGGGAGGATACCACCGCCGCGGCTGCCGTTCACGACGACGACCCGCCTGCCTCCGTGACCCTGGACCCGTTGACCCTTCCTCGGAAGACTGCGACGGCCTGGCAGTGGACGGCGACAGTCCATTGGTCGTTGGACAACAACGATGGCAGCGGCGGCGAGGACCACGAAGAGGGGCAGGACGACGAGGGGTACCTTTGTGTACTATGGGACCTAGTACAGTTTTACGAAAGAATATCACACAGTAAAATGATTGACATGGCCTCCGTGACTGGCTTCCCCCTGTATGTCATCTTCTACACACTGAACACATACAGATGGCCTCGTACATTATACATGGACGGGGCCTACGGGCCCACTCTAAACCCGTATCGTGGGGTTATTGCTGGGTCAACTACTGCTACATATGAGGTAAAGAGCTACCTCATGCCTACCATTACATCTTGGAAGCTAAAACCCGAGAGTTCAGGAATAGGTCTACACATCGACGACTTACAGCTGCACACCTGGTCGGAGTCCAAGAATCTGTGCATCAACATCATGCAGATGCTCACCGTTTCCCTGTCGGCGGTGCTCCAGACCTACCTAGACTGCTCGCTCTCGGCCAAGAAGATGACCGTAAACAGCAACAATATTAAGTTCACCCAGGGAGCTCAATTGGCCCTCGGGAACTTGGCAGGGACCCCTGAAGATGCCCCTCCGAATCTTGGGATAGATTATGTTGCTGGAAAACCCCTTTCCAAAGTTCGTCATCTGAGCAAGCGAGCCTCTCGATGGAAGAAATTTGAAGCTAGGGCTGACAGATTGCGCAGACTTAAATCAACCAGGAGATTAAAAACACGTTTGTTTAAAGCTTCTGTACAGTCTGTTACAGCATACGGTTCACAAGTTCAGGGCCTCTCCCCATCAGAGACACTGACCTTACGCAAACAAGCTGCCAGTTGCATGGGAGTCAAGCTTTCTGGGACCCCCATGGAGCTATCCTGGGCACTCTCGTCTAGAGACCAAGAGGACCTCATGTTCCTGGCAGCAGGTACAATAGAAAGATATGCAATGGAGTGGTGGAGGGCCACACAGCCAAGTCTGGCTGGCACCGCCCACCCTGCTTTAATCCCTTAAGTACCCTGTCCCAAGCCTTCAGGTCTGCACGTGAGTGGATACTCGCATCAAAAAGCAAGACTTGGCAAGAAAGGGCTAGAGGCCCTGTTTCAGATGCCCTCCTGTGGTTAGAACTCGCAGATTGGACAGCGGACGAACCCGCGGTGTGGTACACTAGAGCAGGGAGGAAGATCGTGCTAACTGAAGTACCCCCTGCTAAAATTAGAACAAGGTTCGTCAGGGATTTAACGCAGCAAAAGTTTAAATCAATGATTGACAAGAAGCTCCAATCGTTTGATCATCCCCTCGAGCTGGAGATCAAGGCCACAGGGCTCTGGATCGAAGCAGCGAGGAAAGCATATTTAAGGAAGGACCTCCAGGCAGAGCACAGGCACCTCTTTAAGCAAGTCCTTTCTGATAGTGTGCCAACTGCTGCGAACCTGGAGAAGTGGGGATACCAAGTTTCCACGTCCTGCCCCACATGTGGGGATCTTGACACAATGTTTCACAGGATTTGGCAATGCCCATTTGGAGCCTGTAAAAGAAATGAAGTATTTTGCCCAGAATTAATCGATGAAGCAAGAGCGGCAGGCCCAACCAACCCGCTGTATGCTCGTCTCTTCCAGCCCAAGCCAGATCTGTCTGAGGTTGCTCCCGATTGGGACTTGAGGTTTGTGGGGGCAGACGGTCTACCTTCCGACCCCTTCTGATTTGAGGCTGAAGCTAGGGTGTATACCGACGGGAGCTGCACAGACCCAAGGGCGTCGTTTTTGGCCAGGGCAGGGCTAGCTGCAGTTCAGGTAAATGAAGATGGCCACCTTGTGAAGGCCATCTACTCCCCTCTTCCTGCCGAGTTCCCCCAGACCTCCGCAGATGCCGAACATGCAGCTGTCGCCCTGGCCATCCTAAGGTCTGAGGCCCCAGAGACGATCCAGATTATGTATGACTGCAGCGCCCTAGGTCTCATACAAACGTGGCCTGTGAAGGCGTTGTCTGGCAATAATCGCTTCTCGAGCTAATGGCGATCCGCCGCTATTGCGCTGCAGGAAAAGGAATGGCCCACTCTGGTCAAGATAAAGGCACATCGTAGAGACAGTGAGGCAATGAATGAGCAAGACTTGACCCACATACGTGGAAACAAGCTTGCTGGCTATTTTGCAGGTCTGGGAGCCCGTGTCCACGGATTTTCCCAGGAGCATCTAGAATAATATGATACAGGTTTTCTGGAATATAAAAACCTCTGGTAGGAGCTTGCGCCATTCACAAGGAGTGGCCCTCTCTTGTAGATGCTTTCGGCCCCCATAGCAAGACCTCCACGTCAAAGAATAGTGAAGGAGGCAGGTCCCAAGCACATGCCAACATGGGATGACACTAAATTTAGGTGTGCCAACTGCCTACGTAGCTGCTCAGACAAGAGCAGGTTCCCATGCGTCTCGTTGCCCCCGACCCTTGCCCGCCTCCTCAAGGAGGGAGGGGGCCCAGGGCACTCCATCCATGCCGCAAGGACTGTTTCCTCGGAGTTGCCCATTATGTTATGTGTGCTGTGCGGGAAGTTCTCCTCTCAGAAGGCCCTGTCTCTGTTTGCGCCGTGCTCAAGGCCAACCAAGAGCAGTGAGAGGTCCAAGCTCCTGAGAGGAATAATCCCAGGCACTTCCCTGAGGCTGGGCCCTTCCTTTCCCCTCGCCCCTTTCCTGCCCTCCCCCCCTCCCCACCCGCAGGGTCCCAGTCTTCAGGTGAAAGGGTGCGGGCCTGAACTGGGGTTACGTGTTCTACATGCTGAGCCACTGGTTCATTATGTTCAACCCGTTCAGGCCCGCGCCCTTGCACTTTCGTTTCTTGTTTCATGGTCTTAGTGTGCAATGCCTCGGCGCATGCGGGTCATTATCTTGTCGTTGATGCCTTTGATGACGGAGGAGGAGGAGGAGGGAGTAGCGGGAGGAGCAGGTGCAGGTCGAGGGCCAGCAGCGGGAGCAGAAGGAGCGGTGCCAGGACGACGACCGCGATAGCGGCTGCCCCATGACGAACTGTTCGAGCTGCGCCCAGCCGTGGCCAGAAGAGCACCCGACGGTGGCTCCGCAGAACTTTGAAACAGCAGCGATGGTGCCTCGAACGACCCCCACCCCGGGACGCGAGGCGGAATCTCCAGGACACACCGTTTCCTCCTCCTCCTCCTCCTCCTCCTCCGCCTCCTCCTCCTCCTCTTCTTCTCATTCCTCAAACTCCTCCTCGTCCTCCCTCCTCCTC